TGCCAGAGTATGTTCATGCCCCGGATAAGTGCAAGTAGGAAAAATATTTTTGGGTAGCATTTCATCCAACACAAACAGGGTGATTTTTTTGTATGAAAATATTTAGATTTTGACATTTCAAATTCCCTACTGAACAGAAAAAATATGAACAACAGAATACTCCAACTTACACTTTTCTACTAGACACTTCTAGGGAAAGTAGATGGGGGTCAAGGTAAGTTTTAAATAGTAGAGAGAAGTCAATTAAGGAAAGAGACTAAGTGAAATACACAAAAACCAAATTCATGGGTTTAGTCTAATGAGAAAAAGATAAATAGGACAGCTCTAGAGAGAAAGTAAATTTAGGAAAAGAGGGTACATGAGGGATCAAGACAATTCTTATTGCCTGGCACACTATAGGCACCAAATACTAACAGCAATCCATCTTTAAGATGTTCTCTAAATCCTGAGCACTGCTCAAGAAGCACTGTAGTATGGTAGGTAGCTCAAAATGGTAATCCTAGCAGTGGGTATTTGACAAAAAAATTGGATGCGACAATATAAACCACCTTTTATACTACATTTAACATAAATGGGCTAGATGATAAATTCAGCACACAGTATTCTCTTATCTATTTTGAAATGAAAGACCCTATGATAATCCTGGAAGTTAAGCTAGTCAGAGAAAGAAAAGCTATTGGATAGGTTGTTGTCATCTGCTGCTATTTTCTTATAAACACCCCCCTCTGTGAAATTATTAATCATTTGATTCAAGAGGTTTTAAGGGCATAAAGAATCAAAGTTAGGTGACTATGAGATGGTACTTCACACTTCAGCCACCATCAGCCTATCTGATGAACTATATACATAGATTGTGCTTCTCCTATCACTGATTGAAACCACATGGAAGAATTATAAACAGATCTGACAACCCCAAATTATCCACAACCTTACTAAATACTGGAGACTCTTATCACCATAGAGGAACAACAGCAGCTCTGAAGTGGCCAATAGGTTGCAGAAGAAGCATGACTTTTGTTTAATGTCTATTAATGTATAAGTGGCATATCAATCAAAGAAACTTCTGAGCACAGTCAGAAACACAACAAACTGAGAAGGGGCAATATTTCAATTGCAAATTCTCCTTTTACTAGTACTGTTTAGGGTATTATTTAATTTATATTAAATATGCAAAAGTACAAAGCACTTTCTTATCGGAAGCCGACCACAAATCCTGTCAACCACTGACAGTAATTTAAAATATGATGAATCAACACAAAAGCCAACAGTATATATGACATGTGCAAAAAAACCAAATCAGAAGCTTTTTATTGTTGAGACTAGTTTTCTAGGTATAAAATTACACATTTATAATCTACAAGATTTTAATAACAATAATGAAACATTTCTGGAGAGAGAAACAGTTTGCTTGTTCCTTAAAACAAAAGATTTAGAAACACCATAGAGTGAAGTAGTAGTTTCAAGAGAAGGGCACCATTATGGAAGCAGTAATCAACTGACATAGTACAGGTCTAGGGAGCAAAACAGTCAATAGTGCTTCCTTGTAGATATAGCTAGAAATGAGACTATGTTTGGATAATATTGATGTCCTGCTGATACATGCAAATTAAGACTGAGATAAGTCAGTATCAAGAAGCGCAAGTTTCTCTATTCCTTTATCACATGGTGAACAGAAGTATTACCTATTATACTGTAAACTTCATTGCTCCTCACTTTTAAATATATTGGAAAATCAAGGAAGCATAGTTTTTCAGTATTCTTGGAATAAAATACTCTTTTCAAACTACTGTAGATGCAAGACAGGTAAGTTTTTGAAAATTTATAATTTATAATTCCTCGTTTTTTACTTAGAAGGCAGGAGCCACCTTCTCCATACACAAGGCCTGCTTATTTCAACTTGCATACAGCAAAAGCGGGCTCTGCAAACCTTCAGTGACCACGAACAAGCTGCACAAAGCCTTGGGGGAGGGGAGCCAAAGAAAATCCTACACCTTTAACCTTCACAAAAGCAACTCTCCTCCTTTCACTCTCACATATTCAACAGAATGCACATTCAGTTACATTCTCATTATAATCAACACATGCAATAAACTCCCATTTTTAAAAAGAGCATAGAGATATCAGGTTACAAATATATTTTATATATATATATATATATATATATATACACATATTTACCAGGATCAAAGTCAGGGATGCGAGCTTGATAGTCTGCTCCGACCCTCATTCCTACATCTGCAATGGAAGAAAAAATAAATGCATCTCTTAGAGGGGCGGAGGGGAAAGGATGCCTTTCTCTTCAATGATTGAAGTATAATCATTACAAATTAAAATGTGGAGATTGTGATCTAGAAGCATCACAGATAATGCAATAGAAAATTACCAATACCGACAAGCCTTGCTGTTTTGATAGCCTCAAAGCCTTAGAACAAGTAGGAAGAGGAAGAGAAAGAGAGAGAGAAAGAAGGAAAAAAGAGATTACTCCCCCCACCTCATATACACCGGAAAAAGAAATGCCTACTTCCCTTTAACATTCCAGGTAGGCAATAATTTCCAGAAAAGCAACAATTATGTTAAAATAAATTTAGAAAGAAACAGAAACAGTCCCTTTACTTTATTGTGCTGATACAGCACAGTGTTGCGTGGGTGTATGCATCGAGTGCATTCTTAGCAGAGAAAAACAAGACAGAAAGGGCTGCACGTAGCTAGACCTGCGTGCACCACTCTTCATGGCAATCCTTTCATAGTCAGACACCCACAACGTACTCGTTTGCAAGGTTATACGCCACTAAACGTGTACAGTTGTACACACACGTAAAATGCCATGCAGTACCGCGCCTGAGCTGCGGTTGCATTACACGTGTGCCCATTGTGAAAATGCACACCCACTCTCCACGGGATAGAGGGATGATGGACAGACGGACAAGCAGGCACACAGAGCGTGCGCGCGCCCGAGGGAAACCGAGAACGCGCGCGCGTACACGTACACGCTCGCGCCCTCACCCTCACGTTTATCAGCACCCTGTAGACCCTATCGCGCGCGCACCTTCCACACTCTTTTGCACGAGCGCGCGCACGCGCTCGCACATATACCCCAACATAGACAGAGAGACCTATAGGGGCTC